GAGGTCAATGGCACTAAAGTTTTGAGAGTTAAAGGCAGCAGAAGTGGGGCACTCCTTGGCATGGCAGGAGGCCCATAAAAAGTTCAGAGATCAAAAAAAGACCTAAGTGAATTTCTCATGAATAACAAGTTGAAAGGGAGAATTTAAAAAACTACACTAATTAGCCACACAGAATTTTGACTGTAAACCCTAGGCTGAAACACAAGCTTTATAAACTATCAACTGATGGTCATCAATGTCAATTCAGCACCACCAACAACCCCCAATTCAAGGTGCAATAAAGAAGGAAACTTTAGGTCAGTCGTGATATAGCATGGCTGCAAGGCAGCCCTGGGGCCAGTCCCCTCTCTGGCTAGACAGCTGTGTTCTTGAGAAAAGGTCGGTGTTACAACTTTGATGTTGGGGAAACTCAGTCCTCAGTGGAAAATGGACAGTACTTTCTCTGAGCCAGAGGGTAACTTCCTTTAGAGATAGAAGTCCCCACCTTGGTTCCTGATTGGTCTGTCCTTTTGCAAATGAGGACTCCAAATCTTCACAGTTTGATTGTTCCGAAAAGCACTTTCCTGATTGATTAGGATGGAGCCCATATGCAAGTATATTATTATGGAATAAATTCAGATGTGATATTGCTATTCAAAGGCTGTATATCTCTGTCATTTTGAGATGTTGCAAAATTGTTCTTATGTTTGGACCTAGGCTTCCCTGTTAATAATAAGGGATAGTGTATATTTCTCCTCCCACCCCTAGCTTTGAGATTTAGTTGACATATAACATTTGTATGAGTTAAAAGTGTACAGTGTGATGATTTGATATGTGTGTGTATTGCAAAATATTTACCACAATAAGGTCAACACGTCCTTCACAAAATTTACATAATTACCATTGTGGTGGTGTTATGATGGATAGATAGTGCATAGTCACAACCTGGCCAACAAAGTAACTTAGCATATAGGGATTTCTTCTCAAATGAGTGTGTTGAAATGGTGTCTCACTGCATTTTTTTTGTATCTTTAAAAAAAAGATGTTATTTATGGGGGAGAGGGGGAAAGAGAGGGAGAGAAACAGCTACTGGTTGCCTCCTGCACATGCCTGGACCAGGGACTAGGGACCAAACTGGCAGCCCAGGCATGACCTGACCTGGAATCCAACTGGCAGTTTTTTGTTTTTTGGGATGTTGCCAACTAAGCCACACCAGTCAGGGCTCACTGTAGTTTTAATTTGCATTTTTCTAGTTAGTGAGAGTAAGAGTCTCTTTATATTTTAAAGTCTTTCTTTTCCTTGAACTCTCATCAGGTTTTCAAGCAGAAATGAAGTATCTTTATTTATATTTCTTTTTTTTTAAATTCAAGTATAACATGTACAGCAGAGTGCATAATTCTTAATATAGTGAGATGGATTTTCATAAGCCTCAACACTCATTTGGCAATTTTTACTGGAAGATGTCAACAAAAATTTATTCTCACCTCAAATGGTCCTTGTATGGTTTATGTACTGAAATATTACTAAGTTATAGTTGTCTTATTAGGCTGTCAAGAAAAAGAATCAAGTTCACATGTGTGGGCAGTGACCTTGTACATTACCCCTGCTGTCTGACAGTGGCTGTAAGATGCATTTTTATATCAGAGATGTTAAAATGTGGAAAAACCTCCATCTTAAAACTGAGGTAATATAAACTGTATGATTGAGGCATAGTGTTTCTTGTTTAGTTTTTGTAGAAAAGGATTCTACTTGAACAGGTCCCTGTTCAGAACCTGTGTAGGAGTTCGGGTTGGTCATGGGCAATTCTCAGTGTGAGCTTTTGAAATTCTCTCCCTGCCCCCATTCCTTTAGAGTTTAATGGATATTTATTGTTTGTCCAGAACTTTTCCTTTTAGTAAATTGTTTTTTTCCCCTTCCACAATGAAGTTGTGTGAGTGAATCTTCATATGTTAGGTCATTAATAACATTGTTTATACCTAAACCATTATTAGGAACTTAAAGAGTAATTTTTCTTGAATTCTGTGATAAAAATCAGAGTAATTTCATTGACTGTCCAAGAACAGTAAGCAATATACACACTTACATTCATTGTTAGCTGATACTGTGTCAAATCTTTTTATTTTCAGCAGTCAAAACATTGCCTTTTTAAGTAGACATTACTTTTTAGGGCAGTTTTAGGTTCACAGCAAAATTGAGTAGGAAATACATTGCATTCCCATATATCCCTGCTCCCACACACATAGCCTCTTCTACTGTCAACATCCTGTACCAGCAAATTGGTTAATTTTGTGTTGACTGATGCCCTTAACTTTTGGGAAAATAAGCAGTTTGATATAGTTTGACAGCTTTCTGAAATTTGTTTTATAACATTTCTCTCACTTTAAAAATTATTATTTATCTTAGTTCAAAAACAAAGAAACCTTGACTAGAATTAAATTACTTGCTTCCTAGCTGAGTTTTCTTTTGAAGGTACAAAATGAAAAAGATTTTCAATCTTAATAGCAACATTTATGCCCTCCTTTGATTCCTAGAAATATTATGAAACTTGAAGATTTTTCAACCTTTTGTCTCTTTTTTAAAAATTTAAACTGTTCTAACTAGATGCTTGAACTTTAAAAAAAATATTTGTTTCATTTCCATTTTCTTTCTTTTTTTAAGGATTTTATTTAGTTTTAGACAGAGGGGAAGAGAGGGAAAAAGAGAGAGAAACATCATCATGTGATTGCCTCTCAGGCGCCCCCCTACAGGGGATCAGAGCTGCAACCCAGACATTTGCCCTAGACTGGGAATCGAACTGGTGACTCTTTGGTTCACAGGCTGGCACTCAGTCCACTGAGCCACAACAGCCAGGGCAATGCTTGAACTTTTTAGTTAAAATTTCTGACTTGGGCCTTGGCTGGTGTAGGTTAGTGGATTGAACACCGGACTGCAAACTGAAAGGTTGCCAGTTTGATTCCCAGTCAGGGCACATACCTGGGTTGCTGGCCAGGTCCATGGTTGGGGGGCATGTGAGAGGCAACCTATTGATATATCTCTCACACATCACAGTTTTTCGCCTCTTTTTCATTCCCTTCTCCTCTCCCTAAAAGTAAATAAATAAAATCTTTAAAAAGATAAAATTTCTGACTTTAAGTACTACTGGCAAATGTAAATAATTCCAAACTTGGTATGTAGTAGAGACTCTAGTCCAATTTGGATGAGCTTTCCCACAAATGAATTAGATAATGATTAGGATGCAGCTATCATAAAGGTTATAACGTCCTACAAAATGTTACTAGTGAAGCATGGGATTTAACAGCTAAGAGGAGAGGGCTGTGAGCTCACTGATGCTTGCACTAAGCACCCATGTTTTAGAACTCAAGTGGAAAGGCAAAGCCATAGAACTTTTTGAAGACTACAGGATTTTCTCAATAAGACAGAAGACTCAAAAAATGATTTTGATTACATTAAAATTAATGTTCATTTAAAGACACTATACATACAATGAAAAGGTAAATCACAAACTTGAAAAAAACAGTAAATATTATGTATAATAAAGAACTAGCATCCTGAACAGGGCTGCTGTGTAGATATACAACCTGTGCAGTCACACAGGACCTCATGCTTATTTTAATGCTCAGCTCTCTCTTGAAATTCTTAATTTCTAAATAAGTGGCTCTGCATTTTTATTTTACATTGGGCTCTGCAAATTACATAGTCAGTCCTGGTCCTGAATATGTAAAATCTACTTACTAGTTAATAAGAAAAGACAACCCAATAATAATGGCCAAAGTCTGTGAACAAAGGAATGCAGAAAGGAACATAGCTAGATAATTATTCAGTATTTGAAAAGCTCTTCAATATGATATGATATCATTTTATATAGTAGCAAATACGATACCATTTTATGTATTCTGAAATGCTACCGATTAAGAAATCTAACTTTACCAAGCATTGGAGAGGAAATGTTATTAATCCATTTACCTCTGGTGCATTATAAGGTGATACAATTGGAAGACAATTTGGCATTTTGGTAAAGCTGGGAATTTGCATGTGCTGCATCCCACCAGTTTCACTTGGTTCAAAGCATGCCCTACAGAAATTCTTGTTCACATGTACCTGGAGACATATATTGATATAATAATGTTGATTAAAGCAAAAAGTATAAACCATTTAAATATCTGTCAACAGAATGGTTAATTATGGTACATTGTGGCATATTTATGTAATAAAATACTGCAGATGAATGAAAATGTAATATGGATAAAGCTTAGAAAAATATTGAGTGAAAAAATTCAAGTCCTTGAAGACTTCATATAGTGTAACAATTTATTAAGCTGAAAAAGGAAGCAGGGAACACAAACAAAAAAATTATTTAGAGATATATACACATGTGACAGAGTTATTTTTTAAAATGTAATAACTTTGGCTGGTAAACACTCGATACAATATACGGATGATGTGTTACAGAATTGTACACTTGAAACCTATATAATTTTACTAACCAATGTCACTGATAAATTAAATAAAAATTAAAAAAGAAAAAAAACAATTAGTATTCAGGATAAAAATTGGGATGAGAGGGGTACATAGGAAGATGTAATGTTACATGTGTTCTATAGGGTGGTGATTTGCAATGTTCATTTTATGCTTGCTTACATGCATCTTTACATATATTGTATGTGTCAAATATTACATTAAAGAATAAAAGAGGAAAATGAAATAACCTACTATTGTCAATAGTTCATGATATAGATAGAGGAATGGATTGAAAAATAGAAAGAAAACTAGCTTATAGAAAATAGATTTCCAGAAAAAAGAGGTGATTTAAATGAGAGCATTTAGTTGCACAGAATGTCCACATAAATCCCTTCCAGTTCTGATGTTCTATAATTTTAATATTGTGTTTCATGTGTATTCTATATTTCCCTCCTATTTAAAAAATAGTTATGAGCAATTAAATGTCATAAAAGCAATACAATTTATTTTATTTTTAATTTAATCCATTTAAGTATTAATATCTTGTCCCTTTTTTTTTGTAGTGTATTTTCTAATCTGAAAACGTCTTTCATGAAAACTTCACTTTTAAAAAATAAGTAATGCCATCTGTTTTCCTAAAAGACTGAAATGGAGGCTACCATTTCGAGGTAAGTATTCAATTTTGTATCTTTGATTACTTAACATTTTCCCCCCCAGAAGTTATGTATAGAAGGGTAATGTGACCATTGATTAGATTCTAAATCTTTCAGTTTATCTGGGGCAGAAAGGGGTTGGAATACTGTTTTAAGACAGTCATATGTTTAGGATGATGTTTACCACAGAGTGAACAGAGCTTCATGAAAGAGAGGAGGGGCTAGTAGTGTTGAAAGCTTTATAGAGAGGTTAATTGAAAACCAAAGAAGCTTTTTTTGAATTTGGCAGTTAGAAGGAGGTCATTGCTGGCTCTAGCAGAGTCATATCAGGACAATTTTTGGTTTGCAGTGGAGTAAAAAAAATGAGGAGATGATAAAGTCAGTATTTCAGCTCTTAATTCATTCAATTAAACCGTTTTGTAGCATGTGCTCAGGATGCAACAGTCATTTAAGTGCTGGAGTTGCAGTTAGTGTGACCATATATCCTGGTTTAAGGCTCTTAAAAATTAATTAATACCTATTTTTTTCACCTTTGAGATAAAATTGACACATAACATGTGTAATTACCTACCTATTTTTAATGCCCTCTTTTACTCTCAAGCCTGGTTTGGATGATAAATAACATGGTCCACCCTAGTTATGCTGTAAACAAGGAGGGGCATTCCCTGTCTGAAGTTATTGTATCTGCTAGACTGGGCTTTGTTTCTGGCAGGCAAGTAAGGTGCGTAACAACTAGTCATGAAATTAATTGGTTAATTATAACATTGGTAAGTGCTGAAGAAGTGAAATAATGACTACCCAAATAAGCATTCACTCCTACTGCTGTAGGAGTGAAAGTCAGTGGTCTCTGAATTTATTTTGCAAGGTAGATTTCATAGGTAGATTTGTCAGGGAATTTGGAAGAAAGAAGTCATATAAATGAATCCAGGATTTTGAGTTCCAGTGGTTGGAAGTATGATGGTACCATGAAGAGAAAAGTAAGGAAACCATGAGGAAAGATTGATATTAGGGGTGAGAGGGTAGGGCTATGACATGATGGATTCTGTTAGACATATTTGGATTTTTTTTAAAAAATTTATTTTCAGAGAGACAGTGAGGGAAGGAGAAAGAGACACATTAATCACTTGTCTTCTCGTATATCCCCAACTGGGAATCTGTCCCTTGGCGCAGGCATGTGCCTGACTGGGAATCAAGCAAGAGACTCTGGTTCGCAGGCTGGCACACAATCCAGTTAGCCACACCAGCCAGGGCTTAAGTGTATTTTCTTAGTGTTTATCATAGCTTGTTTCCTAGTAGTTTTGAAAGGAACACAAATCCTCATGCTCTACTATGAGATCAGAACTGGTAAAGAAAGTTGTCTTCTAGTTAAATTTTAGTGAGAAATCCTCACAGGAATTAAAATTCTGGAGCTTTTTAAAAAGAATGCATTGCCCGGAACTTGTGGTTACTATGTCTGTGTAACTTGGCTGTGGAGTCTGTTATCCTAAGTACCTTCAGTTGGCTCAGGAGCAAGCTATTTGTTTTAATATTTAGGCAGGAATAACTGTGATCTTTGAGGATTGGATAAGATGATTAAATGAGCTAGAATGATTATTTTTTCCTTGAAAGAGTACACTTGTTAACCTCTGAGATTGGAAATTTTATAAGTAGCTGGGGGAATTTTCATCTTCCTGTTGACATCTTATCTGTGTAACAGATGGGAGAAGGCATTCTTTGTTCAGATGGATAACAAACCAATAAAAGTGATTAAGTGGTAATATATTGGTGGGATTACAGCCCCTGCAGAGAGGTTTTTGAAATTTTGCATCTTGTTTGCAGTTGTCATTCAGATTTGGAAATTTGAGGTAGATCATATTCATTGTCTTCAATATTGTTACAATTATGCTCTTCCTTGGTAAATTATGTTTTAATTTGAAAATGTTTACTTTAGAAGTTTCTTATCATTTTATATGAACACTGCACATAAACAGAGTGGGTTTATACTTGCTTTCCAGTTTCTTCCAGTTCTTCCTCCTTCAGTTCTTTTCTTTGCCCCAGGGTTCTTTTCTGTTAATTGCATTGGATGTTTGTGCAGTTAGAAAAAATGTTCATAAAGATTATATTGTTGAGTGCCTACTGTTTCTGGTCCTTTGATAACATGCTTTTTGCTTTTACTCAGAAAATAACTGTGGTTAGATTGTCATATAGCCTGTCATACACAGTAAGGATATTGTGAAAGAAATTCTGGCTATCTGTGTAGCATGACCTTTCAGAATTGTTTTCTTTGCTGCAAGCATCTCACTTAGCCTTTTGACTGCCACATGACAGAGGAAGTAGTATATAAAGGGCAACATAAATGAATGCCTTGTTGATCTCAATACAGTTTTTTTACATAAGAGCATGCTAAATAGTCACATACGTTACTAAGTGTTACTGTTTTGTTTATGTGGAGGACTGACTAGTTTTATGCATAATACAGAGTATATTCTAAATGTAATTTTATAAATTTTATAGTGTTTAAATTTTAAATAGAAAACATTTATGATACTTTGGAAAAGGATCTAGATTTTTATTCAAAGTATTAAATATTACTGAATGGAGATTGTTATGTATAGTCACGAGTACAAACCATCATTTCTTTTCTTTTTTTTCCACATTTTAAAAATCAAATCCAGTATTTTGGGGAAAAAGATTTTAAAGCAACTTTGAAGATATCTTCTTGCTGTTCTGTGCATTCAAGAGAAGCTTCCTTAAAACTGTGAAGGGACCGGGGAAACATGAATAAGCACTGGCCTGATTTCATTTTATTTTTATTTTTTAAAGTTAAAAAAAATCCTCACCTGAGGATATGTTTATTGATAAGAGAGAGAAAGAGAGAGAGAGAGAGAAAGAGAAAGAAAGAGAATCAATAGAGAGAAACATGAATTGTTTGCCTCCTGTATATGCCCTGACTGGGGATTGAACCTGCAAGCTAAGTATATGCCCTGACCAGGAATAGAACTTGCAGCTTTTTGGTGTACAGGATGACTCTCCAACTAACTTGAGCCACCTGGCCAGGGTAGCACTGGCCTGATTTTAAACTTTAATCTTATTTTCCACTAGTAACATAGCTATGTAATGCATGTATTTATTTATTCTTTGTTTAGCAAAGAGGACTTGTATCATGTACTGTTGGACCCCCGAAGATGAAAGAGCCTGTTTCTGTCATCCAGGATATGAGCAAAGGTGGCAGAAATAGAGTTTGGTAGGATCACAACTTTTTGCTCTAGGTGCTAATGCCACTTCCCTTCTAGAATCTAGAGGTAAAGGCAAAGGTTCTAAGGAGATGCAGGGGTGTGAGGATGGTTGGATTCTTAGGTGAGAATAGTCCTGATGGGTAACAGGAAAAAATCTGGATCTTGGGTTTGATTTTTTTTTTTTTTTACCAACACTAAGGTCAACAGGCAGAGAAAAATGGGAATGGATCCTATCAAATGGATTCTCCTTGCCGGGCTGCCTAGGGCCTTTACATATGTTACTGCTATTCATCCATTTAAAAAAGTTGTGAAATTTGGTATATATACAGAAGAGCACATGAAAACTTAAATTAATAATTTAAATAGTATTAAAAAAGAAAACCTGGGTGTAATAGGCAAGCTAATCATATGTGCCTTTCTCTATCATATTTCCTTTCCTCTCCTGAAGGTACTTTGCTGAATTACTTATTTCCTTGCTTTTTTTTTAATGTTATCACCTAATTTATATCTCTGAACAGTGTTTAACTTTTATCCATACTTGAGTAAATGGAATCATTGTGTATATATATTTTGTTTCTCTTAACATTGTAAGTTTTATTCATGGTGATGCGTGTAGCTGTATTTTAGTAATTTTTCATATTGTAAAATATCTAGTACAAGTTATTGAACCATTGTATTAATGTCCATTTAGGTTATGTCTAGTTTTTGGCTATTGTGAAAAGTTGTACATTGAACATTTATATATATGTGACATACTTGAATAAAAATTTTCCTAGTATATAAACTTAATAATGGAATTTTTGATGCAAACTCTTTGAAAGAGGTTGAATTGGTTTATTCTCCCAACAGAGATCATCTGTGAAACATCACGTAGCATTGTGTTTAACTTGTATTTCCTTGGTGACTTATGAGGTTGAACATTTTTCTTCCCATATGGTTGGTTATGGCATTTTTTGGCCTTGGTGAAATTTCTGTTTAATTATTTTGACCATTTTTCTATTGGGTTTAAGTTCTTTACATATTCATTTTCTCACTATAATTTGTAAAAATTATTTGATCAATTTTAATTACCTGTTAACATTCTTCATTCTTTTTTTTTTTTTTTAAGATTTTATTTATTTTATTTTTAGACAAAGGGGAATGAAAGGAGAAAGACACAGAAATATCAATGTGTGGTTGCCTCTCATGCACCTCCTACTGGGGACATGGCGCCGTAACCCAGGCATGTGTCCTGACTGGGAATCGAACTGGTGACGCTTTGGTTTGCAGGCCTGTGCTCAATCCACTGAGCTACACCAGCCAGGGCTCTTCTTGTTTTTTGTATTAAGAGCAGTACCAGAAGCCTACTAGAAGCTGGATCTTGCTAGCTTCTCCAGTACCATTCTGCCTCTGTTTTCTGCTTCTCTTTGTTTCTTATCTTTGAATTCCTCAAATTCTTATGGTTCCTTAGGTATTGGCATATGTTTTTCCCCCTTTGCTTAGCTAATTTATTCTCTTCAAATCTGTTAAAATTTCCCTTTCCTAAGAAATTACTCCTGGCTTTTCACCTGTATCAAATTCACATAGTTTGTACCTCTGTACTTATTTTTGAAAAATATAGTAATTCCAGTCAGATGACTAGGCAGGAAGAGAAAGAAAGCAATCAGTATGTTCATTTCTACGAGAGGGTTAAAGAATGAAGATCACATGGAGGGTTAGCAACAGGGGAGTGGGAGAAGGAAAAGGGGGGAGAAGGTACAGAAAATAAGTAGCATAGATAGTAGATAGAAAATAGATAGGGGGGAGGGTAAAAATAGTAGG